ATAATTACTATTGGTAATTATGTCAGTCTATACCAACCAAGTACTTAATATATATTATCTCATTTAATCTTCAGAACGGGATTATGAGGTATAGGTAGCATTACCTCCATTTTACAAATAAAGAAATGGATTCTTTTTAAAAAAAATATATTTTATTGATTTTTTACAGAGAGGAAGGGAAAGGGATAGAGAGTTGGAAACATCGATGAGAGAGAAACATCGATCAGCTGCCTCCTGCACACCCCCCCACTGGGGATGTGCCCACAACCAAGGTACATGTCCTTAGCCGGAATCGAACCTGGGACCCTTCAGTCCGCAGACCGACGCTCCATCCACTGAGCCAAACCGGTTAGGGCAGAAATGGATTCTTAAAGGCTGAATGATGTCTCCAAAGTCACAGCACTATTAAGTGATGGAGCCATGATTACAATAGAGATCTTGGGTGATTCTGAAACTCTAACCACAGTGCTTTACTGCCTTTTACTGTTCTGTAAACAGTAAGAGGATACCTTAGGGAACATCTGAGTGTTAGGAACACAAGCCTACTCAAAAAGATCAAAGAAAAAGGAAGGGACATTAGTAAGTTCCTAGGGAACTTCTTGGAGTATAATTACAGGAACTTCAGTTTGGCCAGTAAGAGCTAGAAAGTTGTTAGGCATTTACAGAGGAGCTGTATTTTAAGTAGAGGTCAGGTTCTTATAATAGACTAGATACCGTTCAAATAGTCATTTTTTAAGTACTTCAATTTCTCATAAATTACACTAAAATATTGGATAGTCGGTTATGTAGACCTCTACATAAAACAACTGGCTTGCATTTGAGGCCATGGTATAGGTAAAATATATATGGTATCTGTAAACTTCCACTCAATGAGCAGTAGATATTGCAGGAGGCACATGGGAACTGATATTCACTGATTCATTGCTCCCTACTCTTTTGCTCACTGTGCTCATTGAGTATAAGTGCTCACTGTTTAAATAGTATTTATTTTCTTTTCATATTCATTTTGTAAAGTGAGTAGTTAATTTTTTTCTCTCTTATTAACTACTCACTTTGCAAAATGAAAGGGAAAGGAAAAACTATGTGATGAGATTCTGTTGTATTCTTTCAAAATTTTTATTTATTGATTGACTTTAGAGAGAGAGGAAGGGAGTGAGAGAAACATTGATTTGTTGTTCCACTTATTCATATATTCATTGGTTGAATCTTATATGTGCCCTGACCATGGATTGAGCCCGAAGCCTTGACATATCTAATGACACTTTAACCAATTGAGTTACCTGGCCAAGGCTGTATTCTTTTTGTATGTCTGATGAGACTGCATGTCTCTCCTTAGGCTTCTCTTCATAAATACACTCTTAATTTCTTGTTAACAGCTTAAAAAAAAAAGGCCACAACAGCCTTTGAGTCTACATGATCATAAAGCCCCCTCACTCTCTAAGATCTGACTCATTTCTCTGGCACAATTTAGAGAGAGAATCTGGCCAAACTTGGGTCAGATGTCCACTGCAGTCTGATTTGATATGACTGTAGGTAGTCACTACAGAGAAATCTGTTTTGGGAGCTTTGGGTAGGCATGTTCCCCAAGAAAGGGATTTGGGTAGAGGAAGTAATTGGTATCTCTACTTCAGAGGTTAAGATGTTTGATTTCCTAGTTCTACCACTAATAGTCATTTGTACCCAAAATAGTTGCTAACCTACAAGTAGTTGCCTGAGGATCTTTATCTGTTAAATGAGAACTTAGGATTCCCCAGGATTCCCTTCAGTTTCAGTAGCAAGATAAAAGTAATTTAGCCCTGAAATGAAAAGATCCCAGTAGTAGTAAGATGGGTTTTATACCAAAACAGTTGAAAAATTGCTATAAACTCTAACCTCTTACCTGGACTTGTTTCCCAGATGCTTTATTATTGCTTTTAATCATGTTAATTATTTTAACTCTAAAATCACTCTAATCTGCCTTCATACTCCACAGTGGGTCAGAGAGAGAGCACAACAGCTCTCACTAGTGTTGCCCATGACATTGTGTCACTAAGTCTAATGGACTTGGTCCTTCTCTTACATGGCTTTTCAGCAGCTTTTTGATATCGTTGACTACTGTCTCCTTTTTGAAGCATTCTCTTCTTTAGTTTCTGGTCATCCTCCTACTTCACTTGGAATTATTTGTCCACCTGAGGCCCAGTGCACGGATTTGTGCACCGGTGGGGTTTCTTGCCCTGGCCTGTGGGGATCGGGCCAAAATGGGCTCTCCAACATCCCCCGAGGGGTTCCAGATTGTGAGAGAGCAGTTCTCAAGTGACACACCCCAGAATCAGGCTCCCTCCTCGCTGGTTCTGGATGCATCACCCGAGAACCGCAGCTGCCAAGTCACTGCAGTTTGGCTGCTCCTGTGTTGAGCGTCTGCGCCCTGGTGATCAGTGTGCATCATAGCTACCAGTTGAACAGTCAGCCGGCTGCTTAGACTTTCATATATATAGATATTCTTTGCTGCATACGTGAAATTAAATTGGATTGAGTTGGTGCCTCTTCCTATAAATCCTCTTTTGGCTC